TAGGTATACTTCTAGATAAATGTACAATGTTGATGGATCTGGAAGCACTTTAGGAGAGTAACTCCACTCTTGGGAAAAAAATCAACACTCTCTGGATGATTAATATACAATGCAAGGATGTTACAAACTTTGTTGGAGATTCATACCTGTTTCGGTTCAGAAGAAAAAAAGATGTTTGTGGCAGCATGTCCTTTCCAGACTGATCCCTGAATGAAAGGGTCTGGGGTCATTATAATCAAATAGTGGATTTTATATATTGTAATGAGGAAATGTTCAATATCTGCATCTCTTTAGTAGGAATTAAGCATTATGGAGTATCTCATTAAAAATAATATTTCTATTGCAAGGGATGCCTAAAATTATATCTTTGTGCAAGCATTTAGCCAATCACAGAAGCAAGAAATAACATTTCTGTGGGTGTTCTGTACACCAACTGTGTACAGAACACCTCCAGGTCACCATGTTGCATACGATTTTTAGACAGTTTTGGAAAATAATTTTTTTCTAAACCATAACCTCAGTAGGATAATGTAGCACCAATCTGCAGTCTTTGGATATGGTAAAGTACATGTGTCATGTTAAAGGACATGTTTTCAATAGAGGGTAAGAGAGATTAAATGGAGAGGTTCAAGCCAACTCCAGTTTTGTGTAAGGGGGACTATATCAAATCATTCTCTCAGGTTTTATTAAAGTTAGATTCCAAGTAAACTCCTAAATACATAGATTAAATACATATATGGGATTTTTTCAACCTGCCAAACGATATGTATTTCTGTGCATTGAGTCCTGAGATTTGCACAGCCCCACTACACAGCATAGCCCCTTCTAGAAGAGAAGTAGCAGTCAAATGAGCTCATCTCCCTGTCACTCTGTTTTAGCTACAAATCATGGGGCCCCACAGGAAAACTTTGGGGCCCCCATCTAAGTCTCTTTGTAACGGCTGGAAGGTTCAGCTGTAACAATACATGTAATTGATCTTAACATGAAGTATGTATCAAGGACAGGCAGCAGGGGAGCTGTCAGCATAGTCAGTACACTACTAGGGAGCAGCGCTGGGGGTAAAAGTTATAGTAGCACTAATAATAATAATGATATTTTATGATAAATTGATTAATGCTCTTGCACACACTTCCTCTTCAACCCAAATACACACTTCTTTAAACTCTAGCTTTGTTAAAGGACAACTATGGGGGAACCCTTTTTGCCCATAGTTCTCTTCAGGGTCAAAGGAGTACATACACTGTGTCCTTCCGGTGACCCAAAACTCGGTATATAGCAGGCTATTGCCACATATATGCTAAGAACGCAGAGCCGCTCCACAGCTGGGATTGATCCCGATAATACTGTTGAGATCCACCCTGCTGGCTGATTGACAGCTGGCTCTGCCTTTCTAGAGGCAGAGCCAGCTGTGCCCGCCCCCTCTTCCGTCCATCCCTCCAGTCAGCGCAGGAGAAACGGAGAGGGGAGGGGGAAATCCCTTTGGGGAGCAGTAACTGCCAGTCATCGCTCTCTGGAGGGAGAGGATCAAGAAGTCAGCGATCGGCGGTATGTGATCGCTGGCTTCCCGATCAATAGTGCCGACCTGTGACTGCTTCTTTGTCACAGGTCAGCTTGAATTATGGAGATTAGTGTTTTTCACTTTAAACTTGTTTTGTAGAACTACCTCTTCCCTCTGTGGTAGTTTGGGGCATGTAGCACAATGGAGAGAGCTAAGTGACCACTCCTGAAGCTGACTTTAACATAAAAGCACAGTCTTCATTCTCTCAAAGACCAACAATCCATGTATTTCACATAATAATTCGCTTTTCTTCAGCATAAAAAATATAACAGTTCATTTTACTTTCACGAAAACATCATATTTCTGTCTCACCGACATTTTGCTGTCCCAAACACTCCCAATGTATTATTCTCAGGATTTTACCGTATTTCTCCACAAATACAGTCCTCAGTATCCCTCAGCAGCTTTCCTCAGCTACAAGCATGTCATCACACTCCTGTGTGATACTCGCACTGCCCACTCTCCGACAGATTCCTTGGTTGTCACCGACCCTCTGGACCTTTCCCAGCCTTCCTCGGCTGTTCCGCACATGCTTCCAGCACACAGCCTCCTGCACAGCCACAACTCCCCACTGGCTTGGGAGCAGACACATTACTGGTTTGGCCGTCGTGTGCCTCCAGCACACACACACTGCCCTAGCTAGGTCCAGCTGCACCCTAATGAGGACGTGTGCATTCACTACCAAATTACGGTCCATGCAATCCGGAGTCTGCCTCACCCAGAGCTCTATATGACATCTAGTAAAACCAGCCCCAGAACAGGATTTACCAACACAGTGTAAAGAACTATCTTTCTTTATCTCCAGACCTCTGCTGGCATTACCATATATGCTATATGGAGAAACGTATCTTCCATCCATCGCTTTTCCTGCCATCCTGGCAGGTTTTAGATGCACTCTGTTACACCTCCTATAAGGTTTTAACAGAGGGAAACATTTTGGGACTTGTGTTTGCATTAGGCATAAAGGGTTTACTTCAGTCTGTAGGAGAAGTTCAGGGGGCAAAAATCTATACTTCTAAGATAGATAAGCAAATGCTTCTTACTGCACAGAGTGGGATCTGTGAATAGAGCAGTGGTTCTCAACCTGTGTAACCTCGGGACCCACATGTTTCCTTGGTCATTAAGGCGTGACCCAAAAATGATTTCAGTTAATCCTGAGGTCTGATTTCAGCCCTTCTATACTCCTTATCAGCCTCTTTAATAGGGCCCTTTCTACCCCAGGCCCCATAGCTGCTGCAACAGAATTGATTGGCTCCTTGTGCTGCTTCTTCCTAAATAATGTCCAATATTGTGTGATTGATGCTTGTGGCACTGTTTCCTGCTTATGTATTTTTTTATCATATGCTTTGTACTGCCCAAAGCTGTGACATTCCAAAGATACTCTTTGGTATCTAGTGCATCGTGTGAAAGCAGGTACCTATAGTTCCCTCATAGGTAAAGTATGAAATTCAGTCTTTTAAGATGGCCCTACATGCCCCCTCTCCTTTTGGCAAATAAACTAGGCTTTATTTTGAATAATGAAAAATTAGAAGAGACTGTTATAATATACTTTAAAATGTATTTTTGCCCTGAAATTCGCAAAATAATATGCTGCCCGGATCCTTCACCTCCAAGTGGTCTGAGACCTCACCCCTATAAAGTAATATTGTTTCCAAACAACTACATATAGTAGTAATGGGGCTTTAAGAAGTGTCAGACTTGCATTATAAATATTCAAAATTGATTTAAAAGATAAAAAATACATAAATACATAAAAAACATCATGACAATTGATTCCCTGATTCTTGCAAAATTAGATAAACAGCATATTGTACAATTATACATTTAATTCATACATGTCATCCAGATTAAATTAATATATTTTCTTTTTTCCATAACATTGATGTAATAACCGTTGGCCTCCAACGCGTTTCACACGTATGCTTCTTCAGGGAGTATTATAGGTGCACAATAAGCAGCATATCTTGAGGATCTCGTGCTCAGCCACTTTTCCTTTCTTTCTGTCTGTCATACAGTTCCACTGCTGCCAGCGTCTCAAAGATGTACATTAATAAATGTACTCCTATGACCCAAAAGAGGACTAAGGCGCAAAAAAAGTTTTTCTTTATTTGGCTTTTAAGCTCTGCTAATTGAAACCAGGCTTTTTCAGCTAAGCATTTGGCATTAGCCTGGTAAACATGTGAAAAGAAACCTAGAGCTCTATTTCGTGGTTGAAAATACTAGATATTCAATATTTCATATTTACCAGACTAAAGCAAATTGATTGTTAATGTATATTTTAGTCCTGAGCATAATAAATAAAAGTCAAAAACAATAGTACCCACAGAGCACCAATATACTGTATCTGAATGGATAACGTGTAGTAACACAAAATCTTGGCCATTTGTTGTAAAGACATGAGGTGTATGTGGGAGAGACAGGACACTGATATTATGGGGCCTATTTATAAAACAGTGAATCTGACATTCACTGTAGGTGAATTTTTCAGGTGCATGTGTTTTAAATGACTGATTGATTCACCCACAGTGAATGTTGGTGACAGTGATATTCACTACTTAATGCATATTAATATTAGTGTTGCCACATGCTTGCAGAGTCTACCTTTACTTTTTAAGTGAAAATGCTCCTTGTGGGTCAATTTATAAGCTTTATGAGGCATTTTTTTGAATTGCCCAGGGTTATGCTCCTTGATCCTTGACTAAGTGAGAGATAAACTATAATTGGTGCTCTGAATTCTAACCACCTCTCATTCAGACTATGGGTTTTTGTTTATACACAGCCATCTCCAAAAATGGCATCCTGTAGGAGTGAGTAGAAGTGAGACACTGGCAATATTTTCATTAGAAGCTTAATTTAACTCCTTAATTTTTAGATTGTTAATTGAGAGACATCACTGCTATAGATGAGAAGAAACAGATCACTTCACTTCCTCCCTGCCATTCTTACACCCAAGAAGGAATTTGACAGCTTTACAAGAGAAGTGAAAATCAATATGCAGTTACTTACAAGCATTCAGTATGCAGATGGTGTAGGCAGCCCTTCAACGGACAGATAAATGGCTTTTAGGAAGTATTAAAATAAAGTAGGCCAGATGAGTACTATCAAGGAAGAAGTGTATGCTGGAAAGGTTCCCTCGTGTGATTTATTTAATTTATATAATGTATTCTCTATGTGCACTTGGAACAGTATACTTGGATCTTATTTTTACATTGTGTGACCCTAAAGCTTGCATCTTAGTTGTGTAATGCATTGAATCTCTCCTAAATGACATGGCCTATAAACATTGATTTACTGACATTCCTTGTCGTGTTAATTGGTTAATATCTGCTTATGGTCCACTTCATGTAACAATGCATGTCTTAATGACTGGTGTGTATTTTATATGGGCCAAACTTCTATTTGAAACCACTAATATTACATTCAGAGGGACAAACAGGATAGACAGATATCTGTCAGTGATCTGTGCAGCTGCACGTTTCTCCTCACAGCTGCTGCTGAGTCATTGACAGCCTGCAGCAGAGGGGGTGGGGCCCGGCATCGGCAGCGAAGGAAGAAGCAGGGCCGCCGGGGCGGTGCAGGAGGAGAAGGCAGGGCCCGCCAGTGACCATGGAGGAGACTGACGGCGGATCTGGGCTGACAGGTGGGCTCTGCAAGGGGCGTAACTAGTAATCACAGGGCTCCATACAAAATTTTGCTATGGGGCCCTGTGATTTCTAGTTTGGCCCCCGGATAGATAGATAAATAGGATAGATAGATAGATAGATAGATAGATAGATAGATAGATAGATAGATAGATAGATAGATAGATAGATAGATAGATTAGAGATGAGAATTTAAGATCACAACAAGCACACAGGGTATAAAGTCTTATATTGATTAGCATAAACAAATCTTCCACATAACTAGGTATAGGGTCTACCAAAACAGGGTTCACTGGGCAAGGGAAAGTTTTGATCATCTTTCAGACCCCACCGCTGCAAGGGTACTGGTCTTAAATAAAATCTTATACAACGTACAAAACTGTTTAGATTACTCATCTGGGGTTATTTTAAAAGAAAATTAGCTTTTATTTGGAATGGGCAATAGGTATACACAGTTTGGGGGGCACTGACTGGCAGGCAGTGTTTAGCAATGTGTTGTGATCAAAGGTTACATAACATAATTGAGAAGAACGATCCTTCTTTCTCCAGAGGTAATTCAGAGACCTGAACTTAGTACAGACAACTAATTTCTGGAATCAGATACAGTCACAGGGAATGTCAGTCCTCAAGACAAGTCACACCACCACAGTATTTGGTTTCTTCTGATGTCCCCAAATCACCAGACACAGGGACCTGAAATACCAAATCACCCAGGACAGAACCAGAGGATGTGGAAACCATCACCCATGCTTATTAGCATTTGGATTTAATGCAAAAATTAGTTTTTAAAAAGTAGTAAAACAGAGTAGTAAAACAGTACTTTTCATTCACTTCTTTTTTAACAGCACAAAGCCGTCAGCTCCGCTACACTATTTTCTCCATGAGGAGTAGTCTATCGGTCCCATGAGAACACAACAACAGACTAGTAGACCCCTGTCCATACTCATACAATGAGACCTATTGTTCACCATTCACAAAAAACTACTGGGTCTCAGCTCATTTTCAGCCTTCAAAGATTCTCCCACTGACTACTCTTACCTCCTTTTATTTCCTTGCCCCTCTCCTTAATAGAGCAACAAGAGACAAGACCAACCAAAGGGGAGGCAAGTCTAAACTTAAAAGAGCCCTACAGGCATATGGGTGTCTTGCAGTGCACAAACATGTATGCTCAGTTGATAAGAGTTGATATGCATGACTATTGACCTTTCTGACAAAACAAATATTGTCTTTCATATCTTGCATGCACATCTGGCTTCAATTTAAAGCCTAAAGCCAGCATTAGTGAGAATCACTTTAAAAGAATTATTCATTGCCCAGCCTAGAGCCACCATCTCTTTCTCATGTTGCTAGGATCTCTCTACCTTTACTTGCTTTCCTAATGCTGGAGCAGCAATTAGGCACTACCAGCACATCTTGTATGCTTTGTGGAAGACTACATAGTCATAGTCTGTCTCAGCGCTTTCCAAACGATGAGGAACTTTACCACCCGGGCAAGCAGAAGATTTATTTTGTTCTGTTCTTTATTTAAAATATACTTTTGTTCTAAAATCGCCAAGAAAGTTTAAATGTCAGAAACATTTGCATGTTAACATCTCTGCAAAATCCTGACCTTCTCTGTCTCTGCTGGAAAATATATGTGTCAGCGCAGCACAAGCAAAAGGCAGACCGATTACTGGCCATTTTCCAAGAGGTTGAAACACAAGTAATTTTACATGACATCATAAATAAATATTGGCTTCAGACAAGACAATGTGAACATCCTTGACACTGCTGTATTTCTTGTATTACCTCATTAGTGTATCCCCATTGCTGAACCTGGCTTTGCTTTAGATAACAGAATGAGTAGGTGTTCCTGACAAACTGTACTTTGGTTACCTAATGTTTTGCTTCTCACTGTTGGCAGGTCTCTGTCCTTTGTCATCACACTCAGCTGTTTCTCCTTCCTCCTCCTGGGCCTTATGTTTTATGTGATTGATGTGAGACACTGGTGGGGAGGACAGCCATTCATCTACCCAGGTATAATATATGTGTACTTCTGCATGAGACAATTATTCCATGATATCAGTGCAATATATAAACCTTAATGCATATTTTGTTTCTGTGATTGAAAGTGAGTTATACAAAAGCAGCACACATACAGTATATTCCCAAAAATGTTAGAGAGCAGAGAAGACATAGCAATTGATCCAAACACCATTACATCTCTTTTTAGCTAATGCACATGAGAAAATATATATGCTTGTGTTCTATAAGGGAGCAATAGGCTGGTATCAGTATATGCTAATAAAATCTCCATTCACACATGAGAAGTGGAAAACGCGTTGGTTAAATGTAACTTTTACTTTTTCCCTGACGTCTTATTGTTATCCGTTACGGTCATATTTATGTCGTAAATAGCTTGACTGTTGTCTGAAGTTATCAAAATCACAGTTCTATGGAAGCTTAAAGGCTAAGTCCAATAAAAATTAACGTTTCAGTTTTGCCACTGAAATTCCTGACTTTGCCCATTTCTGCAGCCATTTTGAAGATTGTAAACCTCACTCCACAATGCACATGAGTAAAAAGCTGTACAAAGGATATCCCTTCATAATGGTTGTAAATAGTTGGTGCTAGGCCAACTGAAGAGATTTTTCTATCATCAGTTCCTAAGGGAAGTACGGCATAGACAGGGGTTTATTGCACCAGAGCTGCTTCCTTTCCCAGAAGAGAAGTAGCTTCATGGAGCGTTTTGGGCAACTTAAAAGCAAGTCAAAACAGCTCAGGAGCACATAAAACCATAAAGCATTTGACTTGCTCCTGAGTTTAAAGGCCTTGTACAGAAACCTAAAAGAAGTCTGGGGTGGTTCTTCCAGTATCCACCCAAAGACTAAAATGTCACCTTTTGTATGGGCTCTTTTGACCTTCACCTTTGTAAATTCAACATCTGACATTTACCTCCTCTATGCTCCATTGAAAGAACAAAGTATTCTCGAATTCAAACATGTTATTTAGCCACATGCATCAATTATACTCCAGCGTTGATGCCTAACTTTGCAGTAGTGGACCATTTTCCATGTAAGAGGCATACGGCAGGAGGGACAGGAAGACAGAAGAGATTGTTGACCCTCACAGCTCATCCTTTTCACTGAACAGTGACACTGACACATTAACAAAAGAGACATATGCCTTCCACAGTCCATCCTTCCCACCATAAGGTGACACAGGGTGCTGACAGAGTGACATCAGATGAACACTTTACTCCTCAGGGTTACACAGTAAATTAATTCAGCTTCTTCTCATGTGAATGAAGAGCCATATGTAGCCCCATTTCACATTCACACACCACACCAATATTTTATTGCCTGTTGCCCCTTGTTTTTTGGCACAGAACAATGGCTAAAACACTCCTTACACATACAGTCCTGAAAATGCACTTCAAACTGCAATGAAATGTATTCAGCTTAATGAACTGTGCGGTCCCTCGGCAAGATCTATTGTACCGCGTGCTTAACATCACAAATAGAAATGGAAGTTTCTATCAATAATGAAAGGTCTAAATAAAAAAACAGATCTGGAGACATAGTAGCATCACTATCAATTTTAAAAAAAGTAATCTTTAATAAAGTAATTTAGAAACATTTCAATTGCACAAAAAGCCTAAAACTACAATACTGAGGTATCAGCTATATTACTAGTAGTGAGCAGAGATATAAACAAAAATGACTCAAATTATGTTGTATATAAATCCACCCAAATACTCCATCTGACAATATTTAGTAGGGTTGCACAGATACCAAGTACAGTACTCGTTACAAGTACGAGTACATGTACCGATACTTTTGAGCTACAAAGCTAACACTAGAGAAAAATTAAAAAGTTAGGAGGCAGCTGTCATTTGTAAGGAGCACACGGGGCTCCTGGAATTTGTACATCTCTATTTTAGTGTACGATTTTGTTTTTATACATATAAATAAAGGGATGCACAGATACCAGTTTTGCGAGTACGAGTACTGGTACTTGCCGAGTACTTACAAGTACGAGTACTGATACATTTTTGTTTATTGTCATGTGACAGTTTTTCTAAACAATACAGACTAATGATTTCAGGACAGTGGTGGAGGGCCAGAACCAGGTCCCAGCTGCAACCCTGGTAGTTCTCATGAAAATGCCAGGTATCTGCACTGGTACTCAAAAAGTATCTGTACATCCCTAATATTTAGATATGTTCAAAGACTAGTTTACAGCTGACTAGAGCCCTCCGATATGTACAGTTAGTATGGAAATATAATTAGGACAATAGGCCCATGTGTTCACTATGATCATGTGTGGACCTAGTACTGAGTAGAATAAATGGATGGTTCATGGTAGACATAAAGAAGAATGACTGAAATTGATGCACTGCCAGGAAACCTGCATGCACATACAATAAATATGCCCCAAAAGAGAAATCGTGACAGGTTTGAAAATGGGTATGTATTTAGGTATAACAGAACATGTATATTTATCATATCCTAAGAGTCAAATTCACACTGCCACTTCTCAAATGATGGGGAGACATTGGGGTTGATTTACTAAAAGCAAATAGGATGTTCACTTTGAAAGGGAATTTTCCCAAAGCTTATAGAATGAGGTGAGGCTCTGCTGAATTCCATGATGTTCAAGCAAAAATACTGCCTTTAGTGAATGAACCCCAATTGATCTCCAGCTTATGCCCTCTTCTCCCAGCTACATGGTGATTTTTGTAAACCAATGTCCCCATGGAGATAGAGATCTATCTATATATACATTCCTTGCGATAAAATTTGTCAAATCTTTCTGCTGGCCTTGGTTATAGTTAAACATATTAAAGATGAACTTCACCTTTAGTTTTAAACGGTTCATTAACTGCACACTGAGAGCTTCTCAAAGTGTTCATTAGAACCTGCAGAAAGTCAGATAGAGACCACCTTATTTCTTGACTGGAAGAGGTCACACATCATCCAGTCCCTTTTGTCTCCAGCTTTACTGTTCCTGACTCAATCCGTTCATTAATTGGATTTCAGTTCCTGTAATTGTGGAGGCTCAGCATCACATATGGGTATTACCTAGGGTGATCTGCATGCAAATACAGCCTTCCTAGGAATGCTCACTCCTACAGACTGACATCCACCCATCAAGGCATTTTAATATTTGCCTAATAATGCCATTTTAAACTAAACATATCCAGATCTTTCAAGCCTCACAGCCTTGTTACCACTTATTTAGTGCAGTTGTAAAACTGCATTTTATACTTATTTATTGGAATATATGGTTCTTTTTTTTTTTTTTGTTTTAGAATGTATTTCCACTTTGATATTTGCCCACATTCTGATTCAAGGCTGGCTTATACTTATTATGCTGTTTTCTTTGATATCTAGGGATGAACTCGATCTTTGTCTATGTTGGACACTCGCTTCTAGCTATGTATTTTCCTTTTAACTGGGAGGTGAAGAACTGGACGTCCCATTATGAGCTCCTCGCTCAAGATCTGTTGGGAACTTCCATCTGGGTGTTTGTAGCCTACCTGCTATACAGGCAGAAATTCTTCTTGAAGATCTAAAAGACTAACCCTTTGGTGACGCTGTAATAATCGTTTTTTTTTAATACAGTGACAACATGATTTGTCTAAGACAAAACTGATAAAGGTTACACACATCTATATAGGCTTTTCTATCTTTTAAATCTAGGCTTATATCTGATTCCCATTGTTAAAAGCATTTGGTAGCTGCAAAAAAGTTCCAATGAAACAAAATATTCTCTGAACACACTACATGGTAGATATAAAAAACTTGACCAACATAGCTCTTATCGTTATTGGTGACCCAGTGGCATTAAAAAAGTAATATGCCTTGGAAGGTTGCTGTCTCCTCGGAAATGACAATATTATTTGTCTGCATCTGAAAGTAAAGTCAGAAGCACAATAAATGACAGCAGAACCAGATGTAAAAATAATGGTACACGTGACAAAATTGTAATGATAAAAGAAACAAAGGCATGGCCTGGAGAGCAGCAGTATAGAACTCAGTACAAAAGGTCACTGGCATGATTTCAAGTTAGGCAGCAAAAAAAAACACCAAAAAAGCAATTGAATAAAGTTCATGTTACAAGAAAGCTATGCTGGGTTTGTGGTATGAAGGGACATAGCCATGTGTTTTAAGAAAGTCTCAAACACTTAGTAGCAAAATAACAGTGTGTATAAAATATATTGAATAGTATTTAGCTGGTGACAGAAGCTGAGTATTATTCAATATAGTTCATGCACACTGTTATTTTGCTTTTTAGTGTCCAAGACTTCCTTCCAACACATGGAGCTACTCACCCAATATAGCCCTTAAAGTGCTGTGCAGCTTTGATCCTAGATATGTGGATAAGGTAATGCAGTCCTGGAGTGGTGACTGATAAAAGCGATGTCTAGACTGTGGATATGATGCTGTGAACTTTTATTGATGAACTTCATGGAGAGAGGTTGAGGGTTAAAATCATACAGATAGATGTAGACTCCTTTACGTAGCATGGTGTGGTAGCTGTTTCCATTCACAACATGAAGAACACCTGGCACAGCAGCACTTGAGGTAGAAGTCACCAGTCATGTCCATCCTTGTCATCAGTAGTAACCACTGGGCATCCAGACTCAGGCCCCAGAGTGAGCACATGGCTAGTCCCCAAGTTTCAGGCCTAGCTATCTCAGACAGTCCATGGCAGCCTTCCCACAGTCTGGGCCCGGGGAGGAAGAAAGCTCACATGGTTCGACCCAAGTATTTATCATCTCCCCCAGCATGGACCACTGGCCATTAATCTCACAGTGATTGGCTGAGCAGGGATACCTACTCATAGCAATGTCTCATTTGGTTGCTCTGCTCTGTGGCCAGGGTACACCCATTAGCAGACAGATGCAAACAATGACAGATTGATTAGGGAAAACTAAATGAACATAGACTCGAAAATCAGCATCAGACTGCTTACAATCTGAAAATACTAAATTTAATAGCACGCTTGCCTACAGGGTGCTACACTTACAAGCAGAGCCGGATTTCCCACAAGGCCAACCAAGGCCTGGCCTTGGGGCAGCAGGGAGTAGAGGGGCAGCAGGAGTGTGGAATTCCTATCTCCCGATGCCTGGGACATGCAGTTCTGGGCGCTGGGCGGGTAGTTGTTTTCTACATTTAGCCCTGCTATGGCCAAGCAGAGCTAAATGTAGATCAGGGAAGCCGCCGCTTGTTTTGTACATGTGATCCCGGCGATGTCGCCGAGATCACTTGTATGCAGCCTGCAGGTCTGCCATTCTCCATGGGGGGCAGGGTTTGACAGGTAGGGGGGCGCATTGAGGAACCTGGCCTTCGGACAGCAGAGAGAGTAAATCCGGCCCTGCTTACAAGGTCATAATAAAGCAGTAAGACAAAATAATAAGGGAGACAACATACATTGATCATATAATGCATGTTCATCGTATAACAAAGTATCCTCTACAAGTATGATTATAGTTAAATAGGGTTACATTCTCACAGCTAAAGAAGGTTATCTCAGTCAGTTGGTAAACCATTATTTGCTTTACCATTCAGGTAGTGAGATGTACAGTAGCCCTGTTCAGCAGACCCTCAGTGGACCCTTCCCCTCCTCCTGCTTGTTTTGGGTCTTGGACCAATAGAGTCTCTCTGATCTGACATCCAAGCTAAGGGATTTATGTTTTGAATATTGCTTACGCATCGCAGAGACCACCTGGAGCTACTTATGCTGGTCAGGGATTTATATGCATGTTGTATTTGTAGGATTTATGCTTTCTCTCTGCATTTAAAATCTGGCTGCCATTTGAAGCATTAAGTCGAGCTATTGGCAAAATAAAAAATTACCTATATGATGCAATCTGTAAATAGAATTAACAAAGCAGTCTTTGTTTTTCTGGGTCTCTCATAGTTTTAACCATAGTTTCTAACATAGTTTGATTAGCTGTTGATCTGGCCTGTTATTTTTGTTGATCTGGCCTAGCCTGTTATTTTTCAACTTCCTTTAACGGACCAAACTGTCCAGCAAAAGCAGACATCCCAACTCTCCCGGATGCCCCGGGAGTCTCCCGCTATTAGATAGCGGCTCCCGGCCACCCGGGAGAGAAACATTTTCTCCTGGAAAGGTTTACTCTGCTCGATCTAGCAGAGTAAACATTTCCCTGCTATCTGGTTTTTTTTTTCTGACATTGGGGCCGTCGTCAGTCAGAGAAAAAAAAACCCAGTATGGGAATGAATAGCTAGATTGCTATTGGCTATTTCAATTTGCAATAGCCAATAGCAGACTAGCTATTACACCTGCCCACTGCTGATGTAAATCAGCAGAGGTGAACCTGAAGTTCTCCATCAGGTCCTCCTCTGCTGATTGACAGCAGCAGAGGGTGGGTGCAATAGCCAGCTTGCTATGCTTTTTTTATTTTTATTTTTTTATTCTGATGGCAGGAGCTGTCAAAATACTAGAAAAAAAAACCTGCAGAAAGCAAGGAAAGCAATCTTTCTTATAAGGGCAGAGGGCGCCTCCCTGAAATATGAAGGGCAACTCCCTGAAATAACTTTTTTCAGGTTGGGATCCCTGTAAAACAAACAATTTAATACAGTCAGGGTGCTTATAGTGGTCAGCTTTTAATCATGAATGTAAAGACTTTATCCCAAAAGGAAAAAAATAATTCTGTAACTGCATAAAATGTTTTAGCTGGAATTTTATTTAAATTTGTTAGTCACTTGTAAATTCTATTGAGTGTACAAGGTCATCTAACACTGCCCTCTCCAAAGGTTGACAGTTCTGTTGTCCAAGGGTGGCTAAGTTGCTCCTAAAAAGATACAGTGGAGGAGTGACTGTAGCCTCCTAATTCAGGAAGTGTGTTATTGGCCAGATCAAAAGGCGAAAATTAGATGCAAAAATCCTTAAAACTAAAACTAAAGCAGCCAACACATCTAAAGGTTAGTAAGCTGTAATATATTATGTTTTTTTTTTGGTTTTTGGGTTTAGATATACACTGCCTGGCCAAAAAAGTCACCATCTGGATTAAGCTAAGCAAATAGGTAAGAGTTGTAGAGGTTGCTTCACTTGGTCAGGTCTAGGTTTAACATTGTTATGTTCTCAAAAAATGAGGTCAGCTGCCACCTGAATATACTGAATGACCAGGTTTTTCCCTCATTGTTTTTTTCCTTCCCTGATGGCACAGGCATATACCAAGACGACTGGAAAATTAAGAGAATCAGTGCGGCTTCTATTTTGTCCGGACCGGGGTGTCTGATGTGTGTGCTGAAAAAACAAAGGTAAAAACCGAAGCGCCATGACCTAGCGCAATGACTGTGGTGGGAACAAGGCTGGAGATATATTGTATTCAACTCACCTGTGGAGGGGCGAGCAGTTGCTTTGACACGCAATGGAGGAGGAGATCGTGATGGGATGGTTTTGAGTTGTGGGGTCGTGTCCTTTCTTTCTGGGCGATGACGAAATGGCAAAAATAAAATAAATAGAAAGCAGAGTAGGTAGTGGCCCTCTGGCTGTTGCACGGCCGACAAGCCGAGCTGTCATTCCCCTTTCCCCCAGAGAAGACAGTCGGCACAGTCTCCCTCTCTCACCTTCTACCCACTGCCCTTGGACACTGCAGGTTAAGTCCCGTTCTCCCCTCAGCCTCCTCCCGCACACACGCGGGACGCTACCGGCATCTCCTTCACAAGATCTCGTCCCGGCGCTACTCTGAACCCACACTGCCAGGACTCCCAAGGATCAAGCCATAGGATTCACATCTACTCCTCAACCACCAGCACCAGCGCAACCCCAACCACCTGTACATTTTCCAGCTCCACGGACACCAAGTGGACATCCCGTCACCCCCAACCTCATGGATGGACGCTGACCAGATCCATACCCCAGAAAGGATCGCAACAGAACACCTTTCACCTAACCATCATCAGCTCCTCACCGCTCCTCCGTCGTTGACCTCCTACCTTCACCAACAAGAAATCACCTTTTCTTGTGCTCATCTTTTAGCCTCACCACTCTGCCTTTTTTGCCATTTCGTTTCCATTAACTCCGCCTGATTCCACCTCGTCGTCGCCCAGAAAGAAAGGATACGACCCCACAACTACGCACCATCGCATCACGCTCTCCTCCTCCATTGCGTGTCAAAGCGACTGCTCACCCCTCCACAGGTGAGTTGAATACAATATATTGCCTCCAGCCTTGTTCCCACCACAGTCATTGCGCTAGGTCGTGGCGCTTTGGTCTTTACTTTTGTTTTTTCAATACACCAAGATGACAATGCCAGGATTCTTCAGGCTCAAATTGTGAAAGAATGGTTCAGGGAGCACGAGACATAATTTTCACACATAGAACAGTCATCACACCTTAACCCCATTGAGAATCTTTGGGATTTGATGGAGAAGACTTTATGCAGTGGTCCGACTCTCCCATAATCACTGCAAGATCTTAGTAAAAAATGAATGCAACTCTGGATGGAAATAAATGTTGTGACATTGCATAAGCTTAAAGGAGAACTATGGGGTCCTATCTTTTTTTTTATGAATGCATTCCTTAGGCTAAATAAGTAAA